ATTATTTTGAAGATGAAATGTTAGTTAAAGATATTGAAAGTAAGAAGATGATTATGAATAAAAAAATTAATGAAGAAATTAATAAAGTTAAAGATAATTATTTTTGGTATGTTAATACAAGCGAAAATGTGTGCACTTACATACATAAAAGAGGTAAGAAAAATGGCCATATGTGTCACAGAAAAATTAATACTAATCTTAATGGAGATAAACCTAAACCTGATTACCTTTGTACTATACATAGTAAGCTTCATGTTCCAAAGAAAAAAAAATAAAAAATCTACAAAAAAATAGAAAATCCTAATTTACCATGCATAATTGTTAATAATGGTGATTTTATACATAAAACTAATAACAAAAGAATAAAAAAAAGAAAATCTAGAAAAATATATATATGCAACAGTAGAAGTTTTAACCTAGCAAATGTACTTAAAGGATTATTACAATAATAGGAACCGACGTTGTCTACTATACATACTCAAATAATATATCTTACATAAAATTTTATTAGGAAGGGTAGAGTATCGAGTTATCTAAGTTAATTTATTAACTTTCATATAGTTATTTAACATATTGGTTTCATTAAAATCTTTCATTGATATCCAGCTATTTTGGGATTCATTATAACCTTTCCATTTAATTAGGGATATATAGGAATCATTTTCAAATTTATGACTTATTATGGATTCTATTTCATAAGAAATATTAGAAGTTGAATTATTTCTAAGTTTATTTATATCCATTAATGTTCCTTTGCCTTTACCTTTTCTTTTTCTTTTCTTCTCATTGAATTTAGGTACATCTTCTTCGCTGGAAACATCTTTATCATTATAATTTTCATCGCTGTATTCATTATCAATAATCATATCAGTATTATCTATACTTAAATTATTTAAAAACTGTTCCTGTAATTTAACCATTTCATCTAATTTATTTTTTGCCTCAGATGAATTGCTAATAACTATATCTATTAATTTAGCTTAGTGTGGAAATTCAAAATTATCTGATTCCCATAATTTATGATGTGCTTATGTATTAATATTAAACTTTTCACTAAATATTTTTATATTTTTTAATAAACAAGCAACACAAAATTGAAGATTATAAAACTTTATGTTGTCCATCTTAACAATAGATTTATTATTATTAAATCTATAAAATTTATTACCTATTGCAGCAAATTGGTCTTCTATTTTTGAACGGAAGCTACCAAAAACATCATTATAATGCCTTTCTTCTGCTGTTAAATCTACATTCTTTTCTTTGCGTATAGGATAAACAAAATTATTTAAAGATAAATAATATCCTTTTTCCGTACTAAGTTCTATAAGCTGATTAACAAATAAAGTATAACCACCATATGTTGCCAATACATCTTGTTTGAATATTTTTTTATATAATTTCATATTCAAAAACATACTTCTGTCAGAACTATCAGAACAATAATCGCTTTTGGAAGCATATAAAATCATATCGTTTATATCGCTACCAATTTGTGTACGAACTCCATTTTTTTTAAATTTATATGACCATAATCTTTCATGTTTTATATTAGTATTAATATAGTTAATTCTTGAATCATGACCATCTATTATAAAAGTTATGTGTTTAAAAAGTGGTGGATTATATTTATAAGAAGATAAAATTCTCAAAGTTAAAGAAGAAAACATATTCTCCATAGAATCATTAACAATTTTATTTAACCTTTTATAGTTATCTTCATCCATCCAAAACTTTTTATAGTATTTGTGAAATGATGTTTGCGGGATAAACTTATTAATTTCAATACCAGAAACACTAGAAACTAAATGATATAATAAAAATAAACCTTTTTCAACATCAAAATAAGGGCCAGGATATTCACAGCTAGTATATAAAACAACCAAAAAGAAAAAGACAGCTATATGACCAAGTTTATCTACTAAAATCTTTTTAATATCATCAATACCTTTAATATGTTTTTATTCTGTACGATGCTTGTAATTATAATTAACAATTGGCCAGTTATATTCACAAATTCCCACTTAGGCGGTATACTTATAATTATAATTATTTAATAAAACTATTGGTAATCAATTACTCATGGGTAAAAATTTTTCAAGTAAAAAAAAAATTGAATTTTTTTTAATTAAAAAAATAAAAACCTCCAAGTTCTCTTACCATTTCAATAAATTTTTAAAATGGTAATTTTAAACACAGAAATTCTTGTATCTACTAAATCCTTAACTAAAAGTATAAGAAATCTTATGGAAGAGGTTATGAAGGAATATTTTGATGATAAAGTGTTGGTAGAAAAAAAAGAAAGTAAGATGAAGATTATGGAAAGTAAAATAAATGAAAAAATGAATAAAGTTAAAGATAAACAATTTTGGTACTTAAATAGTAGTGAAAATGTTTGCACTTTCATACATAAAAGAGGTAAGAAAGAAGGTCACATGTGCCATAGGAAGATTAGAACTAATATTGGAGATAACAAGCTTGATTATCTATGTTCTAGTCATAGTAAAATTCATCTACCTAGGAAAAAAAATAAAAAAATTGTTTTACCACCTTGCATATCTATTGATAATGGTAATCCTAAAAAAGATTTAAAAAAAGTAAAAAAAAGAAAATCAAAAACAATATATGTATGTAATAGCGGCAACCTTAACCTAGAATATATTATAAAAAGCTTATTATATTAACTGCGGACGTCATACATACAACAATATATCCTATATAGATATTCATTTGTATATAGGAGGGGGAGATTATCGAATTATTTATAATGCACCAAGATTATTATTTTTAATATATTTATTTAACATTTCCTTTTCATTAAATTTATCTCTTGTTAGCCAACTATTATCAATATCGGAATAATCTTTCCATTTAACTAAAAATGTATATAATAATCTTTAAGTTTATGGTCAACAACAGCTTCAATTTGATAGGATTTATAATTTTTTTCCTTTTGTTTTCCTTTTAATTTTCTTTTTTTAGACCTTTCATTGAATTTAGGGACATCTTCACCTTCACTTGAAATATCTTTATGATTATTAGAATCTTCATCTAAAAACTCATCAATAACTATATAATTTTCTGATACATTCATATTTAAGAAATTCATTTGTAATTCAAGCATTTTATCTAATTTATCTTTATTTTGCTTATCATTACTTACTACAATATCTAATAATTTTTTTTCAACAGGAAATTCAAATCCATCTGATTCCCATAGTTTATGATGGGGTAAAATTGGTACATTAAATTTATCTACAAAAATACTAATATTTTTTAATAAACAGGCAACCTTAAATTGTAAATTGTAAAACTTTATATTATCCATTCTAACAACTGATTTATTGTTATTAAATCTATAAAATTTATTACCTAACTCTGAAAACTGATTTTCTATTTTTGAACGAAAACTTCCAAAGGTCTTATTAAAATGGTCTTCAATTATAGATAAACTTTCATTAACATTTTTTCTAATAGGATAAACAAAATTAGAATCACTATATGTATAACCTTTTTCAACAGCTAAATCTACAAATTGGTTTACAAACAAAGTATATCCGCCGTCGATAGCAATAGTATCTTTATCATCCATTTTGTGATATAATTTCATATTAAGAAACATTGAACCATCTGAACTATCTGAACAAAAATTACTTTTGGATATAAAAAGTATCATATCATTAATATCACTAACGATTTGTGTTCTTAATCCATTTTTTTTAAATTTGTAAGAATATAATCTGCTATGCTTAATTTCTATATCCACATAATTGATTCTTGAATCGTGACCGTCAAGAATTAAAGTAATATGTTTAAACAAATCAGGATTGTATTTATGTGCTGATAATATTCTTAATCTTATATTAGAAAACATAGTATCTAATGACTCATTAACAATTTTGTTTAACCTTTTATAATTATCTTCATCCATCCAAAATTTTTTATAAAAGCGATGAAATGTACTTTGCGGAAGATATTTATCTATTTCTTCTTTCCCAGCAATACCGAAACTAAATGGTATAATAAGAATAAACCTTTTTCAATTTCATAGTAAGGTCCAGGGTACTCCTTATTGCTATATAATACTATCAAAAAGAAAAATACAGCAATATATCCTAATTTTTCTACTAATTTTTTTTAATGATGTCTATATAATTTATATGTTTTAATTCAGTTCTATGTTTATATTTATGATTAATAACAGGCCAATTATTATTCAAAAAAATCCAATGATTTATAAGAATTGAATTAATCTCATTTGTTATCAAGCTATTAACATCCATCATTATTACTTTTTTAATAAATAGAAATTCAATTTTTTTTTAGAAATACAATAGTAATTATAAATTTATAAATAATCTCCTTATTAATAAAATTATTATTACTTATGGCTATGAATATATCCACTTATTAACAATAATTTTATTAACTTCATTATTAATCTTTTCATCTATTTGTTGGTTATCTATTGTAATATATTTCTATATTTAATTAAAATTCAATTTTTTTTATATTCAATTTTAAAAATATAATAAATTTGTAAACATGAGGAACTTTTGTAAACCTTAAATATTTTGTTAAGCTTAGTTTAGATGAAAAACTTCAACTAGTAAACATCCTCCTAAAAGCTTGCGTAGCGAGCTAACTTTATATATTATTAAAATGAACAAGTGTGTGTGTGTGTGTGACACCATACAGATGGAAAGGCACAAGGCCTTTCTCATCTCACATACTAGAAGAATAAACAATATCTATAAATTTTGTTATAAATAACAAATTTATGATATTTTATTATTCTGTCAAGCTCCGTTCATTTCATTCACTTCAGGCGTCGAACTAAGGTTCTAGCCTGATTTTTCCTAAACTTAGTGATTGAGAATAACCATAAGGGTTAAGAAATTATTTTTTTAACAAAAAATTAATTTCATGATTTATTATAATTATTTAAAAATTATATTACTTATAATTTTTTAGCTAATAATCATTTTGCTAAAATCATAATGCTAAGACTTACCCCTCCTTCGAAGCCATTTTGGAGGCAATGGATCGTGATAAGCACAAGTAACTGCTAACTACAAAATTATCACATACTTACATACTTATATTAGTCCCAGTTGAAACTACCAAGGAGGCCCTTAGAGGTTACTTCGCAGATCTCAACGATCTTATGCAAATGGAGGCTGATTGTGAAGCTCTGGTCCAACAGCGACAACAACAAGAACAAGAAGACGTAGAAGAAGAAGACGTCGAAGAAGAAGTTGTCTACTTGACTCCTACTAAAGATGAAGCGTAAGCATTTTTAATACTTAAAAATGATCATTTCCTTACTAAAGTTAAATAACATGTAGCTCCGACGTTGAGAAATTCTAACCCTAGGAAGCAGCAATGTGCGAGGACCCCTTCTACCGCAATTTTTGGTCCACAAGTAACCAACTAGCTGAAGGTAACCCTTCTTTATCCCATTATTTCTCAGTCTATTAATATTCCTTCATCCAAGTATAGTCTACAAGAAGTTCCATACTTTGGCTACCCCTAAATAGGGTGCTCCTCTCACTTCGGTCATCCTCGAGCTCAATACTACTACGGTTGCTACTGCATCAGCTTGTTGCATTCACAGAGACAAAGATATAGAAGGCGTCAACTTTTTTAGTTATATCCGTAACTACAACGAGCAGCAACTAGAGCAAATTATCAACCACGCAATCAGTGGAACCCCCTTTGAAGCTTTGGACCAAAAATTAATCAAGTCCATCCGAGCTATCCTGTGTGCATACTTGCATTACAAGAATAGTGGTAGCCTTGATCAACTTGGCTACAAGAGAAAACTGAATGAATTGGCTAAAGGTACTTCCCAAATACAAACTTACACAAATTATTTCTAATTCCTCTTTTTCTAGTTGGATTGCTAAGATCTGCCAAGCCTAGCCATACAATAACCATCGGTTATCGTATGCTGGCTTTCTATAAGCAAGCTGGCGCCTAGCCAATCCTCTTTTCAGACAAGTTTAACTGGCCTTTCTTCCTCTCTGTACGTAACCTTTTTCTTTCTTACCCTCCTTTTTACTAACATACTTTCTTTAGTTCTCCTCAGACAACTAGGCCTATTTGGAGGAAAATGACTTTTCTCCTTTGCGTCCTTTGATTACACCAATAATTCCTACAATGAACTACTTAACATCATTCGAGAATGTTGGCTTCTTCCTACATTATATTCAGTCATTAGTAAATATGATGGCTGAAGCTAAGAGTCAGAACGTGCCTATGGCCGTTATTATCATACTTTTGGTCATTAGAGAATACATTTTGTCTCTCTCTCTCCCTTTCCATCATAACTTTCTTCTCTTTTTCCACCAAATAAAATCATCAATGTCTTAAATAAAAAACATGTCTTAACAAAAAAATATAGCAAACAATAGCCTTTTGAAAAAATTATTAAGATACTGTAGAACCTTCTGCAATCTATCAAAACCAGTCACCATCTCTTTAAAGCTCAGTTTTTAAAGTCAGAAAAAAGTATTGACCCGTAATAAATTTAAGACACAGAAAATGACCTTTATTTGATATGTTAGAATATTGGACTGGATTGTTAAGTTGGATAAGATATACTCACCAGTACTACAGACTGGTCAAAGTTACAGATAAATGTGCGATATCAAGAGTAAAGAAAAAGGGTAAAGAATGATGAATAACAATGAAGTGGTAGAAATAGGGAATAGCAAAAGTCATGTGTACTACTGAAATGCAGAGTTACGGAGATACTAAAAACATCATTTTATCCCACTACGCATCAGTATATAAAGAGCCAACGTTTGAAACACTTTTCTCCTTCCCCCAACTTTTAGTTACTAAAATGTGAGTGTACAGCTGCTCTTTACTATATAAAAGTCCTAGTTCCTTTTCTGTCTTTTTAGTGGGTTTTTCCTCTCTCTTTCCTATTTGGTCATTTTAGTAGATTTTTCTCCCTTCTTTCCTATTTAGTCATTTTGGTGGATCTTTCTTATTTAGTCACTTGGGTAGATTTCTCTCCTTTTTTCCTTTTTAGTCATTTTAGTGGATTTTTCTCCTTTCTTTCCTTTTCAGTCACTTGGGAGGATTTTTCCCCTTTCTTTCCTTTTCTGTTCTTTAAGTAGAGTTTTCCCCTCTCATTTTCTCCTTCCATTCTTTTAGTAGATTTTTCTCCCTTCTTTCCTTTTGGGACATTTAGGTGGATTTTTCTCCTCTCTTTCAATTTCTGCCATTCAGTTACATTTTCACTCTTTAGCCATTATTTGAAAATCATCTTTTTCCCTTTATTTTTTTACGTGATTCCGATGTAAATACTTATACTAATCGTTTATTAATAGCTTTTTCAAGAAAACCTCTATAAAATCAAACATGTCCACCAACAACTCCAACTCGTACGCCTCGAAGGTCCACTTGTGGGCTTCGTTTGCAAAGTCGTTCGTCACTAGTAACAGCCAGTTGCCTATCAAGGACCCAGTTTCGCCTTCGCTGCCGCAGCAAGAGCCTTTCCCTGCTTTGCCTGCTGCCTAATCGTCTCCCTTGTTGGCTTCTCCAGCTATTGCTTTGCCCCCTGTGCGCCAGGGTAACTGTTCACCTTGTCCGGAACGTAGAAACTCCTTGGAAAGTCTTCCTTCGGATTTTAGCTGGGACGAATCCCAAGAGGCTGCTACTTGTAAATATCATTCCTCTCTCATTTTTCTTTCCTATTTACATCTGATTCTCTGAAAATGAAAATGCACTTCTTTTTTTAGCTCCCAAGACTGCTTCCCCTCCTTTGTTGAAAAAGAGAAAGGTTATAGAATCAAGCTCTCCAGTATGAAATGCTGGTTCTAGTATCTCTGGTACTCATACAAACCAGCCGCTAGTCGCTCCTCGTCATTCTGCCTTGGAAAAAGGAAAGTTCCGGGCTCAGCCCAGTGCTGTACGTACACAGCAACCGGTATTGCAATCTACCCAAAAGTCATCAATTGCAATTTCAGAGCGTTCAGATATCAGTCAAGGTAAACTTATAAAAGTATTCACACTATCATTTTCTACTTACTAAAAATAATTCAATCGTCAAACTTTCAAAACACTTCAGATAATCGCAAACTGGGTACTCCAAGCAAAAGTATGTATCTATAGTCATTTTACTCTTTTACAATCTCTAATTTTTTACATCTACATAGGAGAATAAATAATATATATAAATTTTACAGTAAACTGTAAATTTATGATATTGTTCTATTCTATCAAGCTAGCCTTCGTCCAAGTATTCCTCGGCTAGAGAAGGGACTTGCTCATTACCATTCCGCTAGTTTATGAATTTTCATATTCATGAAGATTGTCAATCTTTTTAGAGTTTACAAATTACATTAAAAATTACAAATTAAAAAAAAATATCTTTATTTAAATAAATCTTTTTTAAAGTTATTAAATTAAGGAATATTATAATTTATAAATAATTTATAACTTTTTTATTTTCTTTTAACTATGAGTTAAATTTCATAGTTTTCAAAAGACGTCCTGCTCCTGTGATCTCTTCTGCACCACAGTCTGCCCAGGCATCTCATCGCCAATTAGCTCTGCCTTCATCAACATCATCCTTTACCCACCGTCTACATAAAACAATCATTGATGCAAACATACCTGATAGCGGCAGTGACTATAGCCCTAGTCGTTCAGCACATTCCTCAACATCTAGTGGTTCAGAAAGTGAATCTAGCAACAACAGCGGTACTGAAAGCGACAGTACAGAGCCGGGTACATCGCAACCCACACAGCATTCAGGCGTGCTTTGTGGAATTGAAGAGTGTAATTTATATTTTTCTTCAAAATCTGCTCGTAAGCGACACATTTGCAAAACACACCAGAAAAAAGTAAATATCAAGTATCCCAACTATAACGGTATGTATCTTTCCTATGACGTTTACCTTTTATATTACATTGAAATACTGATGACTTTATAGGAAATGTAACTGCACTTCTAGTCGATGCTAAGCGATGTGTCTAATGCCATTGTGGGTTCAAAACTACCCACTTTCAAGTAATGCAGCGCTACTGTCAAAACTGTGATTTACCAGTAGCTGCACTAACTGAGCAACCAACTGTCACTGTACCTGCACCAGATGTATCATTATTAAGCAATCATGAAATCATTGCCAATGCTTTTACTCGTCTGGAACCTGCCTTTGGCCAAACGTCAAACATTGATACTGACCGTAAGCTGATCCCATGGTTTTTTACTCACACAAAGTGGTATGACATTGTCGAATAGTGGGAAACAGGTACTTTTTTTTTACTTTGATAGCTATTCTACATTTATAGTATTGTCAACTTGCTCACTATTCTCTTTATAGCACACAACCAACACTAAAAACAACATCCTAAGCGCACATCAAGAAACATCCCTGTCACTATCTATGATTTAATAAAGAAAATCCATGCAGAGGAAAATGTACTAAAAGTTGGAGCAAAAGTTAATAAGTAGCTTTTTGTCCGCTTGCACAACTGTATTCATGAAAAAGACTATACCCTTCGTCGTTATCTTAAACAGAAAAAGTAAATGTCGAAACTATCTACTTTGTTTCAGTCATCCACTCTAACTTATTTGCTTTCTTTAGGCTCTCCGAACCACTCCCTGATCATGGATTCAACTAACTTGAGCGGCCCACTATCCAACGGTATACCCAAACTGGTGCCAATCTATTAACCTTTTTACTTCACATCCGTCGTTTCACTGGTCTTCTGTTTTGGGTACTTGGTCTTCAACTATTGATACGATCCTCACCAATATTGCAACGCTATCAGCAAATGTCAATCTAGCCCAATTGTCATCACAGACTGCTGCAAACATTGAATCGCAAATTTGTAAATTGTGGATTGCTTTGTTAAAAGAAGAAAAACCTTTTGATGTCGCTACCAACGGATATACCATTGCTCGGTTTGTTATTGCTTCGTCCTTGCAATTCAATGGGCAGTTCAAAGATGTCAGCTCCATCGCACCTTTTATTTCGCAGATCAAGTACTGGTTCCGCTTACTTTTACTTAATAATATTTACATATGCCATACAAATCAAAACTTAATTACAGTGTAAGTTCTTTGCTTTTTCCATTCTATATTACACCTTCCACACTTGCATAATAAACTCTTTTTTAGCTTTACCACAAATTACCAAGATTTCGGCTCGGGTAGTATGTATGGGGCCAAGGGAATTAATTTCATTTTTTTGGAAAAGTTCCCCGAAGGGGAACTTTTCTGAAAAAAAAAAGGAATTAACTAATATATAGCATAAATCAATTGTTATTATAGGAAGAAGATTGTATTGGATAAAAATATGATAGCAGACATACTATATGCTGGATAACAATGAAAGAAGGGCGTTGAGAGAGGAGCTTATTTTCTATACTTTAAGAGAACGTTTCAGAGATAGTTAATGATAGCAATATGGTGTTGAAATGATATTAAATATGTAGAGCTAATCGTCGATATGTTGACAGTATTGTGCGCCACTTGTTTTGCCAAGGCAGTTCGGTTTGCGACACCATGCGCACATATGCTGGCAATTTTGAGCACCTTTGTTTTTGCCGTTCCAGTCTGATCGTTTACATATCTTGCATGTTTTTTCGTGCCACTTACGCAGCCCACTAAGTATATTGGTGCTGGCAGAAGAGTTGCTACTTGTTATGTTTTTCGGTATTATTGGTTGTATATTAGGATGAATACCACTTGGATTTCGTAGTTGATGTTGAAACGAAGTATGCGTTTGATATTGTGGTTGATATGGATTTAAACTTGGATGCTGCACAAAAGTATACTGTGGTAGAGGTAGTTGCTGCTGTTGGAAGTTGGTTAAATGCATTTGCTGCTGTTGTAAAAGATAATGCGGTTGCTGTTGTTGTTGGTATGTGAATAATGACTGCTGCTGTTGAGATATAGCGTGGCCTTGGTTTTGTGTGTGATATTGTATCGGCTGATTTAGCTGTTGTGCTAGGATAGGAGGGAGTTGTGGTCGGATGCTAGTGTTAGATATTGGGCGCGTTAAAAGGGAGCTTGGTGAAGTGGTATGAATGACTTCGCCTGGTGCATTCTGTGACTGGAAGTGCTGAGTGCGGGATGACTTTGGTGATATGGTTGTTGTTGCTGTGGAGATGGAGCTGCTCTTTTTCTCGACGAGGAGTTGAGTGTATTGCGCATTTCGTCCAGTTCTTCTTTGTTGTTTTTGATTGTTTTATCGGTATTATCTTTTTCTTTGGTAAGATTATGTCGGCTTCGTAAATGCTCTGGTGCTTTATAAAATATTTCTGTTCCATTGACATGCTGTGACCAAATCTTTGTAAGCCTGACATAATCGACGGATTTGGATTTGTGATGCGGGAAATGCTTGTCTAAAAGATCCGTGAATAAGTCTTTCTCGGATGGCGTATGAACTGGCACCAAAGCGTGCGCTGCTTTTTGGCGTGCAGCAATAAACTTATATTGTGCTCGTGGAACTATTGATGATAATAAGTGTAGAAATCTCGAAAGATGATGTTTCACGTATATTGGTTGCAGGTTGGATGCGAGATTGCTCTTGTATCCCAAAATTCGCCATCATATCAGTTGGCAATGGTGATATTCCAAATGTTTCGTAGGACGATAAGACGTGAAGCGGGTTTTGATGCAGACCAGGTTGTGTACCTTGTATATTAAGAGCGATTTCCAGTTCGTTGATATATTGATCCAACCAAGGGTCATAATGCCCATCATGGACACGACCATATCGATTAAGAGATCCAGCCTACAGTCAAAAAAATCGTATTTATATTCACATTCAAGATTTTCAAATATTCGAACAACGTAGTGATGAATAACTTACATTAGTATTGTGCCGTAGGCGATAATCCGCCAAAGCAGATTCAACAAGCTCTACACTGGCACCAAATGAGCCAAAACTTCTGATCAGATTCTGATGAATTCCTCCCTCAAGGGAGTTGGTTCCCCGAGTGCAGCGATACAGAGTTAAGCCATCCTTGTCTTTTCCTTTAACGAAATAAAATGGAATTCCGGGAGGATCAGATACATGGCCTTGATGAATGATTGTCAACACATTTTTTGCTTGTCGCCAGTTGTCATAGTCGAACAAAGGACGACCTGTTCTAGCGCAAATCAATGGACCGTATGTTTCAAACAACTTTTTGACTGTTGGATACAGTTCTTCGGGAGGCGGTACAACACCTAACAATATCGTACATATATGTCAGGATTTATCTTACGTCATGGATAAAATGTGTAGCTTTAACGATGATAAACTTACGTCTAACCCTACGGAAAATCCAATTCGGGTTTTCACCAAGCTTCTTATTCCACGTGGTTCCTTGTTTTGCTAGTACCTTCTTCACTTTTTCTTTATCACTCTTGTCAATGATAAAAAGTGCATCGCGGAAAGCGCGTGAAAATATCTTTGATAGACCATGCTTTTTTGACACTTTGATTATGTCCATCAGGTGAAAAATATCCTTTAGGATTCTTGATCGAATGGGTCCACTAGTGCTGTTTGGTGAGGTGTGTTGGCCGTCGCGAAGTTGCTGGAATTGTCGATGGCCATATTGCTGGCTTTCTTCATGGATGCCCGATGATAATACTTGAATATTTTCCTCATCGTCGATTGCTTCTATATCGTCCTCACATTCTCCATCAATCGATTCATCGCTGTCTTCGTCAGCAATAGCAGCTTATATTTGTATATACAGAGAATGCATTAATATCAATTGGCGTGTTTAAAAAGCAAAAGAAGAGAAGTGAGTGTATATATACGTTCTCTGTGTCCGGATCAAGTTCTTCTGGTATTCTTGAGCTAGTTGTCACCGCTGCTGTCGAAGGAGGACTTGGTAATTCTTCATGTTGGACTGATACTTTCTTATATGTGCGTAGCTCATTTAACCTAACGATAACTTGGAATTTCGGTCTCTCAAAGCTACGCAAACATTTATCGTGTGCGGCTATCATTGCACCAGGGATAAGGACTCTTTTAACAGTGATGATGACTTGGTTTTTCTTGACTTGGACTCCATTCAACTCGTTGTATTGCTTTGCTATCTCCCCATAAGCAGCAGCATCCTTCATACGCCCAGGATGAAATGAGATATCAGTGCCTAATAAAAGCATCCACAGGATCAATCAGAAAAAGAATAAGAGTATCAACTTTTGCTATATTGAATAAACATTACCTTCAGTAGGTTGAGAGATGGGCAGTCCAATGACACCATGGCTTCTCACTTCTTCGAAAACTTGTAAAGAGGCCCACGCGTCTAATGCCGCATAATGCACTTGATCCTCCGTAAGGTCCAGAGCATCCCAGCTGCTTTGACGGACATCATCACCTTTGTAAAGTGTTCGTCCGAATATCACTTCACACATATTCTTCAATCCCATCCTTCCATCCTGAATCGCGCCTTGGCTCTTGCAAAATGCACCGAGTTCACATGCTCCTTTACATCGTATATTAAAATCTTCTTCGATGTTGCTGAGGTCCTTGCTCACATTACGGCCGACTTTCAAGATTCGGTTACTTGAAAGTAGAGCACTTAAAGAAGTCGGCAACTTGTCACACTGGCTGACGCAGCATACCAGCACCGTGTCATCGTATGCAAGTTGTATAGTAGCAACTTTTCCACGCCGGTTTCCTCTTTTGAATGGCCATTCGCAATCCAATCCAATTGCTTGTGACTTATATTCAGATTGACCATTGCCAATTGAAGACGATGCTTCTGCTTGTCGAAGAAGCAAGGTAACAGAAGAGTCAATTTCCTCAGGATTACGGATGCAGTGAACGCCAACATGATCTGGAATTTGGAGTAACGGATATGTACGGGCATTGAGTACAGCTTCTGGCTCTTTTTCGATAACTGGCGTAACATCCTTTGTAAGTGATGGTAACGCGTCTTTTAGAAATTGTTGATCACCGGTTACATTATCCGTAAAAAAAAACTTGCGGATGCTCATAACCATATAAATCGTACGCGTTACGCATTGCATCAAATGCGTATTGTAAGTGATATAATGCCTTGGATGGCACAAGGAATTGAAGGCGTACTTCCTCATATTCGTTCAGTACCGTATAGAGGGCAGCGAAAGCTTGTTGGCCGTTTATCTTGCTCATGAGCTTGATCAACTTGAACGTGTGATCACCTTTTAAATAAACACCGTCAAGGATCTCAATCTGCCTGTCCAATAGTCGTCGTATTTCACCGATAAAAACAGTATAAAATGTACGGAAATATTGTGGTGATGGTATACGACCGGCATATTTGGATTGATCATTGAAATCAGAAAAACGTTTCGCATCGTTGTTGTTTCCTGTCTGAGACACAGTTGGATTGAGGCGTCGAAAGAGGACGGCTTGATAATACTGAAATTTTCTTCTGGAGTATTTAAGCCAGTGCATTTCACGCAGAATCTTTTGGAAACGTTTGGGTCCCACCGAGTTTTGTACACAAGGTCGATACAAATCACCAACTGTTTTTGCTAGGCCGCAGCGATGAGTCATGTAACCAGGATATTCACATTGCAACATGTAAGGTAATTGTCGGATTATATCTGGATCGTTGCTGATTATGGTAGCTCCACATTCTTTTTTGGTACATTCGTAACGCATGCCCATAATATAAAAGCAGCTAAGATATAGTAATGTAGTGTAAGCACAATGACAAGTACAATGTCACTATGTAAATGAAACTAGTACCTGTCAAGATCGACCACACGACGTGCACATGGTGTTTTTGTGTATCCCTTGACTTTAAGATTCGACTTGCAGAGAGTACATTTTAATGACTCGAAGTTTTTGACAAGGAGGTGAGGAAACCATAAGAACACGCGTGGTTTGTAAAGTTCGTCTGGGTCAAGGTTATCCATTAAAGCGAAATAAGGATCCTTTGGAGTCACCCAAAAAGTACCGTTGCGATATTCCCTTGGATATCCGTTGTCTTTCTCTTGGAAGCGTCGTTGTAATTCAAGGAAGTATTTTTTCAATACGCTATCCGATTCTTCACCTTCAGGCAGATCATCTTCTGGTATAGGAGCAGTTTCGTCAACGTAATCGTCGTCAAACTCCATATCTGCGCTGTTATTATCAACCTCAGCTGTTTGCTGCTCCTGTTGTTCAGTAGCTCACGGATTGATAACAACTCGTCGACGCCAACAACAGTCTCCGTCGCAATATCTGTCGTGGACTGGTTTTCCGCGGAATCATTGGTTTCAGGTACGACGATTTCAGGTTCATACAGATCTTGATCATTGCCAAAATCTTCAATAGGCTCAGCAAGATTGGAGCCGTTTTTGTTGAAATTGAGTGTTTGTTGCCCTTTTGGCAAGTCAGTCGACCTTGTTTCATCTTTTCGTGGTCTTCCTGCCTTGTGGCCCGGTGCGTTCTTTCTGTGTAGTGGTCGACCGCGTTTTTTCTCGTTCAATGGCATTAGAAATGGTACAATTGAGAGTAAAGTGTTTAGAAGAGTATAAAGGTTGAAAAATGACAATAAGAGTTTGACACTACCAGAAGGACTTGACAGTCGTACTTTATTATGCAGCAGATGCCGTTGCCGTAGGCGCAGTGGGCGCAGAGGGTGTTCTCTGTTTCAAAAAACTGTTACACTCACAGAAAATTGTTACACGCAAAATGTAAAGGTCAGGTTTTATTGGAAGAGCTTAAATGTAAAGGTCTAGTTTCATTGGACGGCGTGGCCCCATTAGTGTTATCCGTGCCAAGATTTCTTGATCGATGGCAAGTCGTCTGCATATACTGCTATTGCCGAATACAGCCAGATTGCATCAATCTCTGACTCATCAGAGTTTGTCACTGACAAAATAATATGGACACCACACACAAACCATCTGTCACTTGCTATGGTCGAAACAAACGAGAGCATTCATGTACATGATTTGCGTCTCCTAGTCACCAACTTAAGAACCAGTATACAGCAAAACATTAATAAACTCACCTTCAACATCGACCTTGACAATCTCCTTCAATTCCGCAACAATAAACCAATCCACCTATACGACAATTTCAACAATCGTGACATCAATTATTCATTTTTCATGACCCAAAGAACAACCTCCGGCATCAATTTGGCCACATCCTTCATCACATACACAGCACACCACGCCTACCCCATACTTATATTCAACATATAAGTAACAACAGCACTACATACAATCCGTCCGCCATCAAATCATTCATTACAACAGCTGAACAAATCCAACGTGGTTAGTTCATGCTCATGCATCTTATATATGGCCAAACAGCTCGGGCCACAGAGCTAGAAGGCACCTTACTTCAAAACACAACACACACAACACGCAACCTGTATTGGTTAAACGAACATCAAACATTGATGCTTCTAACCACATATCAGAAAACACGAAATATCAAGCAACGAGACCAAGCCATCGCCCGTTTCATTCTTCACTCTCTTGTCTGCTTGTTCCTCCACTATATCATATTTATCCGACCAATAGAAAGGTATCCACATTTCACTCTAAAAGTCTACCATGCAATGTCCAACTGTATTTATTTCGCTAGCCTCTTCATTTATGAATGCTCAAATTCAAACCAAAAAATGCTTGACACAATGGCATACTTCTTTGTGTGCAACGGTGCAAAAATGTCGGCCGACCTTCTCCGCACGCATTTCCAAGCCCGCTGGCATCTGCTCCTTCCTTCTCGTTTGAGCTTTCAAGATTATCGCCATGTGTCCATTGCATTCTCACGATATCATATCCAACATTTGCGCGCACATCACAGCAGAAATTATACAGTGGACCTGCAGGCAGGCCACTCGTCCAGAACTGCCACACACAATTACGCACAGGCAACAACAGACTCGCATGCACTCTCTTCTGTAGCAATAGAGGAGTACTTTAATGCTTCAGAAATGTGGCATGATTTTCTTGGTATATTATCTTTGTTCTCATAATTTCACAACCTATCATTGAAATGTATTCACCACTCGTCAATTATAGGTGTCAGCCCTGGGCGTCATCTCTTTCCAGGTGCTATTCTGCAGGCGGAACAAGACCAAGTTGCTGCCCAGCATGGTAAATTCTTGGCAAACGTGGCTGCTGCAGAGAATGTGGCATTGCTTGAGATGCAACACCGTTTGCAAGTGCAAAGTGACTTGGACAGGCGCCAATCAACAACCACTTCGGCACCTCTAGCACTTCCGCAAGGTACATCATCATCCTTACATGTAAAATCATAATTAATTGTGTTCCTACAAATGGGCTCACAAACGCGAGACTGTGCATGGCACCAGATGCTCTGCCACGCAATATCAATAATTACAATAACCATCCTTCACCACGAAACAACATCCTTCGCACCTGTATGACTCTTGTAGAACCTTCTTCGTTGTCTTTCTTATATAACGGTCAACATACTTGATTTTCATCCAATCCACAGCAACACAAAAGGAAAGAAACCCATCAGTTATCCTTCCTGCTATCTACAGCTCATTTTCCATAAAGACCGGCGATGTTAACATTGGTATATGCAAAAGGTAAAAGTAATCGCGTCAGGCTGTATATTTTACAAGTCAATGGCGGATCAGCGTCATGTTGTATATAATTGTGTATGAGTAATGGAGAAGAAAATTGTTGCATCGTTCTTGTTGTGGGTACGAATGGTTTGTGCAGGTAGAGGACGATGTTGTATTACACACGTAAGTTTGACGTTGGATTGGTGCAAGATGGTGCATCAAGTATATACAGAGAAAATGAGAAAGAAGCAGTAATTCTGAATGATAATATCTCCACTAAAGCTATACCTCAAGCACAACCGATAACCTTTTCCTTCCCTTGTTCACTTACTCAGCGTTTTTTCTTTAAGCAGCAGTAACGGCGGTCTACTCCTTACAAATCTTGAGCCCATGCTTTTCTTAAGAAAACAGTTACCTTCATTTCGCTTTTCAAAAAATCCGTAGATTGCGCCGTTTTATTTTCCTTATTTTTTGTTCATCGTGAAGAGAGTAGGAGCCATTTACAAGTGTGCGTCGCAGCTGTTGATTTGCCATGGCGAATGGTAATGAGAAAAAAAAAGATCCCTGCTGCTGCTAACAAACCCCACACTTTCCACCTACCTCTGCCACCAGCCTCCAATTTGTTTCAAACTCGACCCGGGTAAAGTGAAATGAGGGGAAACGCTCAGGCCCTATTCCCACAGCAGCAAAATAGGCTTATGCCTTATGTGCACAGTGAGTCTCTGACGCACCCTTACCATTTCCTGTACATTAGCCTACAAGCTTCTTGTCACGAGTGAAACAGCCATACTACTATATCTTGACATTGGCTTTGTACTGCTTAACTTCTATCATGTCTTGACTTGAATTGAAAATCTTAAGTACTCATATATTCTGCTCTGCTACACTTAATATATTATCTACTTCAACTTTAATTATGTCTTAGTTGACTAAAACTATGTCTAGGTTGACTGTTATTATGTCCAGGTTGTCTATTATTCATGTTTAAATTGATTATTGTTCTTGTCAGAATGATTTTCATTCATGTACAGATTGATTTTTATTTTGTCTAGATTGATTTTACTTATGTCTAGATCGATTTATATTCATGTCCAGGTCGATGTATATTCATGTCCAGATCGATCTTTATTCATGTCCAGCTCATGTCTAGATGGATTTTCATTCATGTCCAGCTCGATTTTCATTCATATCTAGATGGATTTTTATTCATGTCCAGCTCGATTTTCATTTATGTCCAGCTCGATTTTTATTCATGTCCAGATTAATTATTTATTCATGTCCAGATTAACTTTCGTTCACATCCACTCAGACTAACATTCATGTCCACTCTGCCTAAATAAAAGTTTAAACGTCCACTAGGAGATGAAAAATCCTGTATAGCAAATATGAAGATATTTTTCCTAATATTAAAGGATTTTATCAATGTAACTTAGAATGTTTTTATGATGATATAAAAGCTTTATTTAATTAGTAAATATAAATACTTTTATTAAAGTTTTTTAATTATAAATTGGAAAAGATCTATAAAAATTCTAAGATTATTCTTATTCTAATAGTTTTTAATTAATTATTCCAAACATTTTATCTTTAATATTATTTTTACAAATATTATATTAGAAATTTTAAAAATTTAAAGAAATTAAGAAAATAAATATAATTAAATACAATTAATAAAAGCTATTTGCAATATATAAATTTTATGTATTCATTATTTTTTATATTTTTAGGGTTTTAATAAAAACAATATTATTATATTTTTAAGGTAAATTTTAATTATCAAAATCTTTTTTTCTCTAAAAATTCTAAATTATTTCTAGATTTTAATATAAGATATTTACATTTTTCTCAAAGTTAAGATAGTTATAGTTTAGAATATTATTAATATTTAACAAATATATTTTATAATTATATCATAATCTAAGATTGTATTACTTTATCAAGGTTTATTAGGTTATTTGTAGATAATAATGACAACGAAATGATTCCGACTTATCCCCTATATAGAAAAAAAAAAGATAGAAACCATAGTTATGCATGTCGCGTGTTAGCATTTGTTTCGTAGTAAGTGGTGAGCAATGTGCGTCTGCAGCGTAATTGGGCTACATCACTGAGGTATTCGTTATTGTGGCCACCTAACAGTTGCTGATTGAACTGGTTGCCTTACTGTTCGCTTATGCTAGCTCTGTATAAATCAGCAACTTCATCAAAACGCCTGTCTTCTTCTTCTAGTTGTAACATAAGTCGTCGTCAACGCTCCCGGCTCCATTGCATCTCTATTTCAAAGTTGTGCGATTTTTGCTCCCTATCTTATAGAACTGCAGTTTGAAGAGAATTGAAGTCGCTTTCTGTTGTTGATTCATCATCACTGATAAAGATGATGCTTGGTCGGGAAGGAGGAGGAGTAACACGAGCAATATTGCGATTAGCAGTAGCAGAGTGTGGGTCAAGGTCGTAGTGATAGTAGTGATAGTAGCAGCAGTAGGAGGTGTAGTGTGGATGATGCTAGCATTTGTGGTATCGCTGTTGCCATTGTCGTTGTCGTTAGCGAATCCCAAGTCTCTAAAAACGTTATTGGTGTACTAAAAGCAGTAAAGAGTTATTTATCCTTCTACATTAAAAAATACAGCACACTACGATTTCTTAATATATATATATATATATACCGGTCTAAATGAAATAAACGGAACACTGGTTTGTCGCAAGATGAAATATGTTCTAGCTGCAAGTTGTTGGTAATTAGAATGGTGGATTAGATGCTTGCAGATTAGATACCGGGCAGCCACAGGTCCAATTTTCAATAGAAGGTAAGTACAGCAATTTACTTATATTGCCACCAATATAAGAGCTGCCTTCCCCCCCACAATTCAAATTTCTTTTGAAAGTCAGAGAGTCAATGACGTGGGAACGGCTATTTGCACCACCCCACCTGCACCACCCCT